TTACCCCCAAATGTTTTCATCAATAACAATCATCTTTCTGAAAATCGAGAATTTATATCAACATTAAGATTTGTTGGTGAAGAACATTTCAAATAATGCAAATGAGTCAATGAGAATAGACCACACATAATTATCTCCTTTGTATAATGTTGCCAGCATCTTTCACATTTGTTCAAGTATAACTCAAAGAACATCCCTATCTTAAGAGCTTGAGGAGAAAGGATGAAAACTTCCGAAACCAACCGTGTAAAAATCCAATCTCAACGTACACCACGTAGCCCTCGACGAGCTCTCCAAAATTAAAGAAGGCACTAAGGTTAAAATCTCAATAAATAGTGAGGGATCAAGGAATAAATGAAGTGGGTTGGAGGGTTTCTAGAGAGAGATGAGAGAAAAGAAAGTGAAAGTTAATGTAGAGAGAGAGTGTAAAGTGAAAATTGATGAGAAGTGGGTAAGGCTCAACTTTTGAAGTGATTTGATTCAATTTTCAGAGCTAACAGTTGACAATCGCTCGAGTGACCAATCGTGCACTCAAGTGAATAGTTCAATTTTTGAAAGACTACTCAAGTGATGAAACTTGTGCTCGAGCCAAAAACACCCACTCCTAGAATCTCCACACCTCTTTGTAAAAGAGCGCTCGAGCAAAAAATACATTCTCCCAGAAATTCAGTCTGTAAACTAATGTACTGGGAGTTTGGATTCACCTCTTGAGTGACCAAAAGACCACTCCAATGATCCCACCCAGAAAGTGAGACTAGGAACTACTAGAACAATAGCCAACCTTCCTAGATCCTCTCCAACACCCAAAAGTGCAAGATGACATCTCGAAATTCACAAGAATATACTTAACGTAACAATCACGAGGGAGAATGAATAACCACACCACTTCAAAGAGTTAAACAATGAAGAAGACACACACAAAGAGACAGATGCTACCAATAATGTACTCAATAACTTTAAAGGAGTCGGGACATCACATAAAACCTCAAGGGAGGTCAGTGCAATTTACCTTTTAATCCTTGTATTGCTAGAAATAAATGATCCAGGGCAATTTTAACTTTTTGACAACAAATGTGGCTAACATCATCTCATTTTGTTAAGCATTCTAATAGATAAATAATGGAATAGGGAATCTTGATAATAGTTTTAAAAGTAGGAGAGGTTAGTGTAATTATTGAAACCATAAGGGTGGCCTCCGCAATTATGAAAAACCTAAGGAGATGTAAGTTTAATTTACCCTTATTTTTATTTTTATTTTCTTTCGAAACATGTGGGGTGAATTGACAACACATAAACATGTGTGGCATCACCCCTAACTTTTGCTTGCATATGGTTGTGATCAATAAGAGAGATTATATACACTAAATTTATCTCAATCAGGATTAGCTTTGATTTTTTGGAGGCCAAGGCAAACTCTAAAAATGAAATCCTCATACATATTTAAAACAAATAATTAATTAGTAAAGTAATAAGTATTGTTGTTTATTTTTGTTGTTGTTTGTATCTATACAAAATTTGCTCAGATAAACACTAAACTTACTAGCCTTTTACCCACATAAAATATTATGAGATAAATCTAATTGAAAAATATTTATAGATGCCCTATTTTAACTGGTCGTAAGACTTGGGTGCATTTTTCCGAACACCCTATAGCACTGCCCGGGGGGTAACCTCGTGCGTTAACAGTTCGAAACCTCGGTCTCTTTGATCTAGTCTCACGAGTGCAATGTGAAACTGTCACGACCCGAACCTGCCCCTAAAAGTTTGGGCCATGACCGGCCTGTATACTTAGGCCTCAAAGACAAAATTTCAAAATATTTAAATGACATCGGGGCCTAAAGCGGAAGCAAATCAAATAGTAATGTCCATTGAGTTTGTGCATACATGATAACTAAAATAATTAAAACAATGTAAACACACTAGTATATATATATATATATCTCACACACATATACATAAAACTTAAATAAATACAAATTCTTAACAATACAAGCTTAAAGCCTTAACATAGAGGCCCATCTTGGGTGGCTTGACTTAGCAGGTTCACAAAAGAACTCCTGAGGCTAACCTAAGGATGGTCTCCGGATTGATCACCTACATACAGATGAAATACGGAGTGAGCGAAGCTCAATGAGTAATAATAAAGTGAAGTGAATCAAGTAAATAATCTAGATTCAAAAGAAGCATAACACCATATTCTTCCACATTTAAATCATTCACAACATTATTCATTATCATATTTACAAAACGGCCTCAGGCCCACCATATAACAAAACGGCCTCGGGCCCAACCATATATCAAAATGGCCTCGGGCCCAATCAAATATCAAAATGGCCTTGGGCCTAATCGAATATCAAAACGGCCTCAGGCCCAATCATATATCAAAACGGCCTTGGGCCCAATCATGTATCATATTATAAATAATTCACATTTCATATCCATATTCCATATCATAGGTCTTGTAACTCATTCATTCGCATAAAACATAATTCCAGAATATCGCAGCATTTACATATTAAAATAAATATAAATGAACATATCTTTACAATATTATTACTCACAGTGATGGGCTTCTGGTAGTAGTTGGGCAATGTCCTCGTCTTGACCAACAATCATAATTACATAACACAACATATGAATATAACCGATACCTTTCTTTTCTCTTTAATCAATTAGTTATGTTGGTTTTAAACTCACTAGTCCTCAATAGGTCATAATCCTTGTCCAGAAAAATAGGAAGAAACGAAAGGAAGCTGAGTTAAATGAAGAATCAGCATGAAACCGGTAGACAGAAAGTGAACAATCTTCACTAATTTGAGCATATCTATTTGTGTACTTAGAATTTGGGAGTGAGACCACCACCATTGGAAACTAGACTTCCAGGGCTTGAATTTAGGCTCAAGAATCACTTAAAACGGAGTCCGGATGAGAGATATGTTTATTTGAAGTTGAGCTGAAACAGGGAAGTGTCGTACGTGCGAGACCAAATCCGCACGTGCGGGAAATCCAGGGCACATGTGGGGGCACGTGCTTATATTTCAGAATAAAAAATGTTGCTGGAAGAAGGCTTCCGCACGTGCAGCTCTGGGCAAAAACTGCTGTCCGAAAATACCAGTTGGTTCTAACACTTGTTCTTTTATTTTCTAAGCTAGGTTTCAACTTAAATCATTCAAAAACATGTAAAACTAATAGAAAATATGAGGTTATGGTTGTTTTCTAAATCAAAACACCAAAAAAATACCATGAATCTTTAAGCAAGAAAAATCAAAATCCTTGTTTAGTTCTTTATCAAACTTTTCCAAAACTTCTTCTAAACTCATGTAGATCTTCATTTCATATAAGATTAACCATACAAAACCTCAAGATTAAGGCTCAACATCTGATAATCAACTTCAAGATAAGCAGATGTAAGGAAATTGACTCTTAAATCAAGTAAATCTAAGGAATCAAGATTCAATTCCATGAAGAGAGCTCATTTAAGCATGTACTTCAAAACCCTAACTCAATTAGGTATGTAATCTTCGTCTTGTGTCATGAATTCAAACAAATAATAGGTTAATCCCAAGAAGTTAAGTTGATTTCTATATACCTTGAGTCAATCTCTTGAATTGAACTCCAAGTCTTTCAATTTCCCATGCTTCTTCTTCAATTTCATCTTCAAATTCCATGGATGTTTAGCTCTCTCTCTCTAAAAGCTTTCTCTCTCTCTCTCTCTCTCTCTCTCTCTAGATTTTTTTTTCTTTTCCTTTCTTTGTTGAGTCTATCTCCACAAGGCCCATATACTATTATATCTATACCTTGTCTCATAAAACCTATAGCCAAAAGCTTACCTCAATGATAAGAGCCAAACATGACTTAACAAATCAGCCGAAATCAAATTTTAATTAATGTTCACAGATGACTCTAAAAATTATGCTGGTCATAATTATGTATTCCGTTCTGGTTTCTGAAGCCTCTAAGACCTTCAATTTGGAGTGCAAAGTTAACCACCCAAACATACCTTAACGAATCAGACAAAATAAATTTTCAATTAACTTTTCCAAATGGCTCTAAAAATTCCCATTAGCATATCCATGTATTCAATTTCGGGTTCTGAACCCATGTAGGTCGGCAATTTTAGTTTTAAAGTCGTAACTCAACAAATAATTCCTCAATTCAAACAGATATCATTAAATTAAAGCACATTAACCCATAATTAAATAAAGATAATTTATGATACGCATTTTGGGGTCGTTACAGAAACGTAGATAAGATTCCAGATTTGGCAACTTTTAGAAATCCATTTTATTGCAAAAAATATTTGCCAAAAATGGACTACGTCTTCAGATTTCAGAGTCACCAACTAATATTTGTTTTGGAATAATTAGGAAACCTGTGACTCGTGCCAGGGCCACTGTTCGTCGTAACCAAGGATGCTTGGCTCGGAACCTTAGGTATGAAGGGGGAAGGTCATTAATTAAGCACCCCTGCTGACCCGATTAAAAGATCGGTCTCTACTAAACCATGATATGATTTTTATTAGCTTTTTATGTTCATATTTTGATTATTTAATAAATCCTAAAAAATTACTATGTGAAGCAACCAAATATAGACTGTGTCGTTCAATTTGGAGCAATTTGATTTCATTATTTCGAAAAGGTTTTGAATAGTGCAATCATGAAAATCAATTTGATTCCAAATTAAATAACACAACCTTCACCTATTGGCATGCATATATTTATATCAAATAAGCACATAACCACATGATAGGATCCTAAACATAGCAGAAAAACACGCACAACCAGGATGCTAAAGCATATAAACTTACATATTTACTGGCGTCCAATAGGCGCAAAAACAAAATTAGTAAACATGTATGATCCTATATACAAGATCCTAATGCAATTCACTCATGAAATGCATCTACAAATCCGGCTTTTAATATATGACATGTGAATCATTTTAAAACTTGAGGTAGCACACAAAATCACATAATAAGCAATTAAACTCACATATACAAATTTAGCCGAATCTTAAGGCATGAAATATGGATATGATGACAAGTATGACATATTACATATTTACATAATATGGAAAGAAAATGAAAGAAGGGGATAGAAAGAAGTGGGAGTGGGGAATTATTACATCACTTTGAAATATCACAAATTCGAATAAAGGAGGAGAGGAATAAAAATATTACAACAAAATATCCTCCCAAATCACTCTTTAATTAAAAGAAAAACAGAAAAACAGAAGCTTTAGGGGGTCTCGAAGACCGTCAAAAACTGCTTTGTTCGACACCAAGAGGTTGCTGGGATTCTATCGAGGAGATGATGGCCGGCCGACCAAAAGATGAGTTGGCCGGCCGGCCAATAAGGGCAGGGCAAACTCTATTTTGCTTCAAACACTAGAAAAACAGACGTAAAATATACAAGTGGCTCAACTAACTACTTCCAGTTAGCTTACAACGGGTTTATAACATGAAATCAAAGCAAGAAATGCAATAGAAGAAAGAAAATGCAAGAAAGTAAAAGAAAATGGTAAGTGTGCAAAATTTACGTTCCAAGGAAGGATTTAATTTTCAAACTTCCTTTTGATCACCCTCGAGCTTAGGAAGCATGCTCTCAATTCTCAGGTTGGAAATTCAAAATTTAAGTTGGAATGGTGTTTTGGGGCTATTTAACAGTGTTTGGGGGAGAAGAGTTACAACTCTGTATTTTTCTCTCTTTTCAAGAACACTCACTCTCTTTTGGATTATGCTACTTGATTATGGCTATATTAGAATTTATGGGCTAGGTTTGATATATTGAAAGATGGTATATCAGTGTGTATGGATGTTTTGGCTCAAAACATACACTTCTCTCTTTTTTCCCTACAACTCTCTCTTTTCTCTCTCAGTTCAATTCCATTCTTTTTTTCACATTCTAATCCTCTCTATCTCTATAAGCAATCAGGGAAGGTTGCTAAGTCAAGGAGAATGTGGGAGACAAGGATGATGGGGTGACAAGGGTGGTTGAAATGAAATCAACCTTATGGAAGATGACAAACTCCCTTTTGACAATGGAGGCCAATGGAAGATAATGTAGGGGGCCTAGATATATCTTGTGCATGAATATAACAAGAAAAGATCTGAAATGACATGACCCACATGCTTTCATCAAGAATTCTGCCGAAACTGCCCTGCACCAAGGAAAATTAGCCGAGCAACCAATTTATTGGCTGGCCAGCCAAAAAGTTGGCTGGCGGGCCAATTTCTTGACTGGCGGCCAATTAACTTGACTGGCCAGCCAATTATGTAGCTAGCTGGCCAAAAAAGTTGGCCGTGACTGATCGCAACAATGGAATGATTTCTTCGTTGGTTTGTAATCGAGAGACCATTATTTTGTAAATTATGAAATAAATGGTTGCATTTCCCCTTCCTCCAGATTTGCTTAGAATTTAGAAGTACACATCTTAATTTTTTCTTAGCTAACACAGTATGTTTTCTATAACTTCTACTGGGTCCTGTTCAAGAAATTGGTTACTTCAATATTGACGAGTCAGTCAGGTTTCCATGAACTTATGTTTTAGTATCATGTATCTACCAAAATTAGCCAATTTAGCATTTGTTTTATCTTATTACATGCCATTACTTTCTTTTCCTTTTCCTGTAATTTATCCTAGTGAATAGAGATTTCATATCAGGTTCTATTTTAAGCAGGGAAATTCTAAAGGAGATCTTGACAGTGGGTACAAGAGTTCAAAATATCAGCATGACATAATTATCAAATGTGCTGATCGTCACAATCTTTTGCGTCCTGAAACTATTGAATTATTTCTCTCCTTGTATCAAATTACTGCAGATCCAGAGTAGAGTATGTGATAGAATTATATTCTACAATTTTCATTTTCTGTTTTACTTTTCTTTTCTCAGTTTTCAGTTTGTTTTGGCCTGACCTTTTGTGCAGATATTGTGAATTGGGTTGGGAGATTTTTGAGGCATTTGAGAAATACACAATTTGGCAAGTATTAGAGGTGGCTCAACTTGGTTGTCTTCTTGTACAGAGAATTGATGGTTGATCTGCATTCCTATGTCTGACACATCGAAACAGGGAAAATAGTTTTGGAATTGTCTATTTGTATACCAGCAGATCATGACAATTTGCAAAATGAGTTTTGTCAGTATATATGGAGTGAACAAAATTATTTTTTATTTTTGTTCATCCTATAATGGGTTGAAGGCAACCACATGTAAATTGAATTTTCCAGTATTATTAATCACCTTGAAAGATACACTCGGATTGTTTGATGTGGCCTAGCTACTTTTTGTTAGACAGACTATACATTATTACACAATTGCCTTGAGGCTACAAGCACATTCGTTGTTCAAGGCAGCTTTTCAACAATCATTAATCATTTTGAAGGAGAAACAGATGGTCCCCATCTCGGATGACACATAAGTCATCTATTTCTGCATTCTCTTCATTTACAACTTTTGTAAGCTTGTAGCCTCCAAATTTTTCACCTGCAGTTCCACCAAGTGCCTGATGACAAACAGATAGAAGCACTAAAAAAGAAAACATGCTTTTTTCTTTATTTAATTTTTTATCTTTTTAACAGAGCAGCATTGCCAGTCAGTAGTTAGTAATCTGTTGTGTGCTTAAAATTGTCTTTTGTATATTTTAATTGAATCTATCAACTTATAAATATGATTATTGCTCTTGTTATTAACATGCAGGTTCATTGTCGAGGATTCTTTTGAGGTCAAACATAGCTGCTTACCGGCAATCCTCAAGAGCTCTTCTAGGGAATCAGGTAGAATTATTAGCTTCGCAAGCTGCTTTTGTGACTTATTCTTCTCATGGAGGAACTTCATGTGAATGGTGACTCTCTTAGTCAATTTGTTAGCAACCTCTCTATCAGTTGGACCACTAGAATGTCCAGTGCTGAAGGTTGTCAATACGTCCCTAAGCTGAGACTGAGAAGAGTTTGAACAATTGGAGCCGCCTTTGTTTCTTGTAGTACTAGTAGTGGTAGCAGTAGGTTTGAAGTGACCATTCCCAGTGTAGTGGTGAACTGTTTCTGGGCTGAAAAGTTGTATTTTGTGGTCATCTAATGTCCTCTTCCTTGTATTTTCATAACTTAGTATGAGGTCATATATGGTTTTGTTTTCTTGTTGTAGAGCTAGAGCTTTTGGGGTCCACCCTCTAGCATCTGGTTTGTTTACATTTGCTCCTCCTTCCAGAAGAATTCTAACCATTTCAATATGCCCTTTACAAACAGCATGATGAAGAGCTGTTTTTCCATCGCCAGCAACTGTTGTTGTCGCTGTTGAATTGACTACAATCATTCCTCCTTCTTGGCCACTAAAATTGTGCATTTCTCCTCCTTTTTCTTCATTCTTCTTCCCTGCAGAAACATCCGAATTAAGGAAGCTGTCTATAGCCCTCGTATCTTGTTTCAATGGATCTCCTCCATGCAGATGCTCTTCACATACAATCTGAGAAAAGTTTCCTCTTTCTGTTCCTCTGTTGTCAGGGTTCAAATCTAGATCTGTCCGTTGGTTTACAAATCCAATGCTTTCCATTCCTGTCAGTTTCTGTGAATGGAAGCATAGAAATCAATCTGTCTTACATTTTTTGTTTTGGGGGTTGTGGAAGAATCCAATAATATAATATATTTCCTTGAACTTGAAGGAAGAGGCAGTTTAATGTTGTGCATACCTTGAAAAGATTGTTCATGATAATGTCACCATCTTCTTTATTTTCTTGAATAATGTTCATCAGTGTAATTCTGCTCATCCGTAGTATTTGAGAAATCTCAGTGGTTCGAACTGTGAATGGCTGTGGCCTATAACATAGAACCCCTATTTCTCCAAACATGTCCCCTGCAATGGCCTTTCCAAGAACCTGTACAGTGCATGAGAGAGATTGTGAAGTTAGCTTTCCTTTGTTCTTTGTTCTACAAAAAATATTGAATCTGATTTTACTGGAAATTACATACACAGTCACGCCCATCAACATTCGTAATCAAATCCTGCCATCATAAATCATTACCGGTCCAGAAATGTTAGACGTTGTTTGTGAATTACAAAAATCATATTAGATGAATATATTAAGATCACTCACTCACCACTGCTCCTGAGACCAGAATGTAAAGATCTGTTGGAGCCTCATTCTGTAGGATTACATCTTCCTTTGGTGGGAAATACTCTGCTTCCATTTCAGGAACCTTTTTGTAAACAAAGTATTATTGCTAAGTATCTCGTAAAAATTATGTGAAGCGTCCTTTTTGCTTGTATTCATGAATTTGAAAATTATATTCAAACATTAGAATGAAAACTGAGGAAGATCTTCAATCACACAAAAAATTTAAAAGGGAGAAAAAGATGAATACCGATTGGAAAAGGAAGTCGCGAGAAACACCATGGAAAAGATGGGCATTTTGAACGATAGGGAAGAATAGAAACTGTGCAATACTCGAACGGATGCCTTTTGGCAGACCATTCAAGGTCTCTTGCTGTTTCAATCCTTGTGTTTTGAAATTGAGACATACGTGAGACAGAATTTGATCCTGTATGCGTGAGGGCAATTGATTTCGCCTTGCGAATTCAGAAGTAGCTCTGACTGTATCCCTCTGGTATTAAAATTTCCAATTCCTTTCAGAATCTCTGTACTTAAAACAAAAAAAAATAAAAAAAATAAAAAAAGGAGAGAAAAGGGGTACATACAAAGTTTCTGGTGCGGCTGGTCCAGTGAACAACGAGGTTTGTCATGTTCCCAATGATGTATGAAGTCAAACCCAAGTTGAAGAGCATGTAAAAGATATCAAACAACATCTCTCTGGAATTCTCAGCATGCAAATCGCCATAACCAGTAGTAGTTAGGGTAGTGATAGACCAGTAAATTGAAGTTACATATCTGTCCCAAAGGCTTGCTTCTTTGAAATTTGGGTAGACTGCACCTATCCATGTTTTGTTTGGATCTGGGTGTCTATCTGCAATCAAATAGTATATGCATCCAGCACAGTGTACTGCAAACAGTGTAACCTGACAGACAGACAGACAAACAAACAAACAAACAAACAAAAGGAATTCAATGATGATATCCTTTATGAATAATGAATGATCTTTATAAATAAATAAATAATTGTATGATTGGTGTCTTACTGAGATGAGTTTTGTGCACCGGGTCCAGAAGTAGTTGAAGCGAATGTCCTTCTCCAGTCTGAAGAAAAGAAAAACTTGAGTTATACATAAAGTAACTATACGAATATTTTGCAGAATTTGGAAAACCAAAGACATGATTTGTTGAATCTGTGTCTGGTGGACCTTGCAAACAGGGAGCTAACTCGTCTGAGGCGCCAAAGTCTGAGCATGTTAAGTAATTTAAAGCCAATCCCACTACTATGACTTGGGAAGAGGAGGAGGCTCAGAGGTTGGAATGGCACTGTCGAGCAGATATCGAAAGTAAACCATGTTGATATGTACCTGTAAGTATAAAGTGGGAAAAAAATGATATCATATATAAAGAGAAATACTTTGTTGGAGAGAAAACAGTGTCTAATCTATTGATGATTCCTATCAGGTTAATCAAACAAGAGACTCTGGTATGGGTATACCTGATTGCAATTTTCTTTGGGTCATCAATTAGAAAGTAAGATTGATTGTCAAGATATGCCACAAAGAAGGTGAGAATAATATCAATGGCAAAGAATCCATTGACAATATTGTCAATTATGAAAAGCGCATCTCGTTTGTAGGTCAGAAATGCAAACTCAAAAGGGCAGATCCAAGCTGAGTAAATGACTAGACCAATCAAGAACATTTCCCAAGCCCTGAAATGAAGAACAAACCAGAATATGATGTGAGAGGTGGCAAAAAAAAAAAACAAAAAGAAAAACGAAAGAAAAAAGCGCCCCGAGTAATTAATTAAGCAGAGTTGGAGATCATTATCATCTCTCATCTCACCTATAACGAGGACTGAAGGGGGAGATGATGCATCTTCGAAGTTTGGTTTCTTGGTTGATTGTAGCTCCGAGGGACGGGAGGAGGAGATCATTGGAGAAGAAGCCACCAAGGCTGTCACCACTACCCCTTTGGAAATCGTCCATGCAGAAACGTCGTAGGAAGTTTTTTGCATAGGAAAATGACATTTCTAATGTGGGTTCTTTTGTTTTTTGTTTTTTGTGAATTCCTCACAGGATATCTACAGTGGAGTTTGTTAAACTTTGATGGAGATAAGTTGGTTGGAAGAGCTTATAAATAGAGCATAGCGTGCCTAGCTGTTGGCTAGTGACACGGGTAAAGGGTATTTTCTTTAATACGACTCTTTATCATGCTTTCAACATAGAGTATGCAACTATTGCATCACTAGTGGGTAGAAAAGATTGGAAGAGGATGAGATGAGTCTTGAAGTGGCAGACATGAGACTCTCTGTAATGCAGTTGAAGCAGGGATATGAGCTCTGTGTGTGTGTGTAGAGAGAGAGAGAGTGTGTGTGTAGAGAAGGAAATGGTAATGGTACTGGTGTCAATGGTGGAAGCTCCATCATCAATAAATGTGGGGGGTAAGGGTGGGAGAGATATACAGTCATGGATTTGGAAGGACAAGATATGAGTGAAAAATATATTGGTGTTTCCATTTCCAAAATCTAGAAATGGACCATACAAGTAGAAGTAAGAGATTTAGTTGGAGGCGAGGAGGGGTTTTTGGGTATATGGATGCCACGTGGATCAATACAGGCTTTTCTTAGAGAGGGGTGACACAGTTAGATGCGTACAAGGATCCCCTGTCCCAAAAATTCCTGTCCCCATGTCCCAAATTACTCATAACTATTAGATATGTTTTGAAATCCTCAAATCTTGAGATTCTCAAATGATCCAATGGTTGTGAGCAATTTGGAACAGAGGATAAGGATTTTTGGTGACAAGAGATCCTTGCTCGTTAGATACCTCCTATTCTCAAATGTAGCTATCCCTTTTTACATAAAATATTTACAGACATTATGTTTGAATTTTTTTACATAATTTTAGGATCAAAAGAACAGAAACATTTGAAGACAGTATGTTTGACAGTGTGACAAAAAGTATGAACAGAGGCTTCACCAAATCAAACTTTGAAATTCTGAATTTAGTTCATTCTGTCTTAGGACTTTGGAAGAACCCAAGGCTGGTTGGTTTGTTTGTTTTTGCAACACAATCAGAGCCATATATCTCTAAAATGCATTCCCGCCATATATCCCAACAAATGCCTCTCTATGGGGATATGCATTGGCCCCCTTTGTAAACCGACCATTTGTTGGAGGCTTCCACGTGAAGAATGATCTGGATTTTGTGACGATATTTCACATGCTACTCTCCCAAAACCAAAATATTGCACAAGTTGACACATTTTGTTTTTTTACTAACTGATGTCTCATGTAATAAAATAAAAAGTTGATATTATCTCAAGTTTAAAATATGAACTTGACGGTCATGTTCAAATTTGCAGGGTCCATTATGAATTCTATTTTGATGATTTGAATCGTTCAAATGGATAGTTTGTTTTAAAAAACAAATTTGTCTTCTTTGGGAGATGAACACGATAAAATGAAAAATATTTCGATTATTGTATTAATTTAATTTTTTTTGTGAATGATATACACATAGCCTTACAAAATAAACGGTTCGAATCATCGAAATGGATTCTGTAGTGCATCCCACGAGCTCAAAGATGACGATCAACTTTAAATTTAAATTTGAGAGAAATCCAACTCATAAAAAAATATTCAAATATGAAATATGATCCATATTATTATAATGTGATAAAATTCACATTGGTGAATTTTTTTTTTTATTTTAAGAATTATTAATTTATATAATAGTACTCGTAAAAATGTTCAAATACAATGTGAGTGCATTCCTTCTGATAGAATGTTGGTCCATTCACAATCAATGCAGAGTGTACATATGTTTTCTATGTAGAGAGGGGAAGAGTTGAATAATGCTGATAGTATATTTGTAGTGGAGATTAAATTTTTTGGGTGGGTGATTGTGTAATGGAGATTAAATTTGTATAGTGTGAAGTTTATGTGTAGAATAAAATCTAAATCATATTATGATAATTTTGGATAATTTCTCAATAGTTAAACCTGATTTTGTAATATTACTGTTACCAAAATACCATATTCATTATAAATTGTTTGATCAGATCGTGACGATAAGATTTAAAAACGATAATTATATTTTGTTCCTTTAAGTTTTATGATTTTTTCATTTTAGCTGTTGAAGTTTTTTTTTTTTACCTCTTCTCACTTTGATATAATGTTTATAGTTTTTCTTAATTTACTCTTAAAACTAACTTCCATCTAATTTTTTTAACAGAAAGTGGCACATGGGCAGCCACGTGGTGCCACGTGGCATAAAAATCGACAAATTACACTTTGCCCTCTTAAGTTTCATATTTTTTCACTTGGCCATAATGTATTTTTTCTTCTCACTTTGACCCTAACATTGCGTTTGGTTCATAGAGATTTGGAAAGAGAAAGATAAAAAGTATGTGAAATGTGAATGAAATATAACTATATTTCACCTACTTTTCACATATATTTCCCCTTTTCCTTTTCAAATCTCTTCCTAAATTAATGACAAACACAACTTTAATGTTTGTAATTTTTCTCAATTTACTCTCAAATTAAAGTAATGTCTAATTTTGGATGAAAAAAATGCCACTTTGGTAAGCATATTGCATAAAAATAAATAATATTAAAATTTGGTTGAATTTTTAAAACTTTTTTTTGGACTTTTTTTTTCTTTGAATAATTGAAAACAAGTTTGACAAAAATAAATATCAAAAAATATAATTTTGAATTTTTAAAAAAGGTAAATTATACTTTGCTTCTTAAGTTTAAGGATTTTCCCATTTTAGCCCTGAAAATGTATTTCTCTTTAAATTTTTCCTAATTTATTCTCAAAACAAACTTTTGTCCAATGTTAGACGAAAACTTCGATGTTGGCAGCAATGTGGCGCTATGTGGATAGCTACCTGGCATAAAAATGAGTAAATTATAGGGATTTTTGGTGAAACCCCTATTTTTGGGCTTTTTTTTAGGATAAAGGACAATTTAAAGAATTTTCCTTCAAAAAGCCCCTGAATAGGAGACGCTTGCCTCAATAAGGACATTCTATAATTTGTCTCCTTTTTTTTTGACAATATTACCCTTCTATATATGTATCATATATTTGAAAATCTAAGCTGATATTAACACGGATTTGCGAAGACGATTTGCGAAATCAGTGAACATGATCTGCGAAATCAATGAAGACAATCTCAAAATTTGAAGATCTCGCCCTTGGTCAACAATAGACGACCTCGCCGCCAAACGAGAGATTACATTTCAAATCTGTACAAATTTGTATCAAATTTTGAGAGTTTCATTGAGATTTGCGAGCGTTGATCGAGTTTTAGAAGCTTTGCTTCGATCACGTGTTTGATTATTGTTCGAGTTCAATTAGGTTTGTTGATTAGTTTTTTTTTATTTATTTTTATTTTTATTGTATGTGATCTGATTTTATTTAACAGAATGAGAGTAAAATTTTACTCTGATATGTGCTCCATTTTTATTTGATAGAATGAGAATCAAATTTTACTCTGGTGTTATGTGTTCTATTTTTTATTTTTTGATAGAATGACAGTAAAATTTTACTCCGATACTATGTACTTATGTTATTTGTTTTTGGACTCGTAGTGATAATAAAATTTTGCTTTGATTGCCAGTAAATTTTTACTGTCAACTGATTGCAGATTTGAAAAATGGTTCCACCCCTTATTTTATTATGCAAGTATTGTGATTATACCATTGTGTTGAAGGTTGTGTCAAACTGCACATTGCAGGATTTGACTGATTTCTATTGTTTATTGATGGTACTTTCCTGAATGGAAAATATAAGAGCACATTGTTATCAACTACAACGAAGGATGGGGATCAAGGTAGATATTACTGTCAGTGTCTTACAAAGTAAAATTTTACTTAATTTCAAAGTAACATTTTGCTTATTTTCAGAGTAACCTTTTACTTTTAATTATAGTAGCATTTTACTGTTTTACTTTTTTGGCCTTTTGTGTATTATTCTTACTAATTGTAAAATGTTCTCTCTTTTAGATTTTTTTCCCCTTGCAATTGGTATTGTCGATACAAAGACTATAGATAGTTATGGATGATCTTGTTGTCTTTCATCCAATTTGTAAAAAGCTATCTGATAGGTCAAGAAAGAATTGGATTCCATTTAGGGGTGAGAATATAAGAAGAGTATAGTGTTGTAGATGCAAGAAGTACGGTCATAACAAGAAGACTTGTAAAGAGACATTGTCATGAAAGACATTATTGTTTTGTAATAAAAGTATAAAAATAATATAATATTTTTGCAATAACAATCCATTTTTAATGTGTTGTTGAATGGTTGTTTATCCAATTTACTGAGTTGCTTTGTAATTCAATTTGACATTTCAATATATATATTTTTTAACGTTCTTGATTAGTTTCATGTAAAAGAATTTGTAATAGACCTTGTTCAGTAGAAGTGAAGGCTTTGAGTAAAATTTTACTTTGAAAGACGATAAAATGTTACTGTCAAAAACAATATAGGTTTAGTATGAGTTTTAGTGTAAAACATGTCCAACCTGTATCAACATGTGTGCCCTTTTTATTTTTAAACTTTAAAATGATCTAACTTTTGATCTAGATGTCTGTTTTTAATAAAATTAGTATTTTTAGAATTCTCTCATCAAGATCTATCAAATAAGATCTAGGTTACTATGAAATTCCTTAAAGAAAAATAAAACAAAAGTACCATCAAAATTGACGTAAACAGTAAAATTTTACTGTCACTATCAAAGTAAGGCGAAATCGCAGCGTCATTCAGAGTAAAATTTTATTCTGAATCAAAGTAAATTTTACTATGATTCAAAATAAAATTTTACTATCGTTAAGAAAATCAGCAATCAAACATTATTTTCGTTAGCTAGAGTAAAATTTTACTATTACAAAAATAGAGTACGTACTAGATAAATGAATTATAGTCGAATTTTACTTTAGATCTATGAACAAACAAACAAAAAACTATCGATTTTTCGTTGTAATATCTCAATTTATCATTTTTTGGACATATATGAGGTCATTTTATCTCATATCTAAAGTTATTGATCTCAAATATGAGTTCATAGGCATCAAATCTGAGATTGTGATGGTTAACGGTAAAAATGGTGGTCATTGGCCAATGATGAGGATGAGCAATGCTGATCGATAATGGAGATAGTGGAGGCGATGAACAACCATCGACGGTAGAGTTGATGAAGAGAGAGAGACAGAGAGACAGAGACAGAGACAGAGAGAGCTGTCAAAGAAAAAGAGCTTCTTTGACTTGTGATGGTCGTTTTGGAAGTAACGACCAGTAAAAGATGATGAAATCGTTCAATAACTTCAAAACATTCAACAATTGCACTTGAAAATCTCTTATTATGCTTCAATTTTTGCTTAAATTGACAGTTTTTAAAGAAGGGTTTTTGAATCAATGGTTTTGAATTTCAACAGTTATCAAACGAAGAAAAAGAACAAGAGAGATAGACAACTCAACTGCTTACTATCACCCATATATATGCAAGGGT